TCTTAAGCGCTTATATTGAGATTTGCTCATCTCATTATCTAACAAAAGAGCCAACGCTTCTTCAAATGTATTATTAGAATGATCTAGTTCAACATTTATGTTATCAGCTAAATATCTTGCCATCTGAGCACCTTTTGTTCTACTGTCTTTCCCCAGATGTGTGCTACTAGCAAACTAACAGCAAGGATTTGAAGCTGACAAAGTTGCAACTTTTCTTTTCTTTGTTTTTGAAGATGAATCTTTAAATGGTAATGTAGGTCTGCCGAGTTGTTTTACTATCCTACATTAATGTGGTATTAAAATCATTTTCAAGCCAAACTGAATTTGTCTTTATTAAGTTTGCATCAGTTCGTTTACTTCAAGTCTCTTACCATATCCAGAAATAAATAAACAAAATTTATTGCAAAACATTTGGCCTTGAAACTTCAAGTATTTTTCTTTAATAAAGTTGTATAAAAGTATGCTGCCTTTTTTTTTATGTATTGACAGACTGTTGAGTCTAATAATTAGTAAATTTTGTTTCTTCTGACACTCATTAAGTCTAAATAAAAACAGCAGTTTAACATCTGAAATGAGTAACCCCAACCAAACCAAGTAAAATAGAATATTAAATCCTTTTGGTTTGACAAGCGCTAAATTAATAAGAACAAAATTTAAACTACGATATGTATACGATATATATATATATATATATATATATATATATATATATATATATATATCGCGATATGTATACGATATATATATATATATATATATATATATATATATATATATATATATATATATATATATATATATATATATATATACATATATATATGAATTTTAAATGTATTAAAAATGTATTGTACATAATAGAGTGCTCAATGTTCTTAAAAGAACAGAGCAATAATAAATTAAATTTTTAAAAAATCACTTATCAAATTTTTCTATTTTACACTGTGTTTCATCATTTAAGGATTAATCAAGTGATTCATCAGAAATTTTCATTTCTGATTTATTACTTGATTAAATTTTTTGAAAATTAATACTATTTAGATTTGTTATTAGTATCTTTATAAGATCTTTTCAAAGTCAAAGGTCAGTTATGTGAAACAATTATGTGAAACATAAACCCCGCAAAATGCTAAATCTTCTGAATTAAAATACTGAATGAGATAAAACGATTACAAAAGCAGCTGCCATATAAAAATGGATATCAATTGAGAAGATTTTCTGGTATACTATTCGCTTTCAATGTGCCACAAGATCCTATGACACTTTGGGATAAACATAAAGAAAATTTATTAGTGACGATGCAAAGTATCCGGATATAGATACGTGTATAAAATAGCGGTAATCAGAAATAGTTAATACCAGTATTTTTAAGTAAACAAATGGAAAGGAAGATGTAAACACAACTATTATTACTTTATTTAAAATACTTAAAAAAAATTTTAAATATTTGTATTAATTTCAAAAACTTTAATTTAAAAAATATTATACTTAATTTTAATTTAACTTAATTTCGGACTAATTTCTATCTGACTAATTTCTTAATTTCTGACTAATTTCTGATTAATTTCCTTCTTAATTTCTGACAAATTTATGTCACACACACACACACACACTCACACACTGGTTTGAAAAAATAAAAATAAAACATTAATAAAAATGTTTTTGAAAAATGACAAAAAAATAAAAAAGGTTTTATAAATAATTCAATAATTAAAAACATATATTTTAAAATTTATAATAGAGCAAATAAAATAACATAAAAAATGGTTCAAACCTGCTAAAAATTCTTGATAAAAACAATGATGAAGCAATTAAACCAGCGTCTCTACCTAAATATATAGAAAAGTACAGAAATCTAAATATTATTTGTTACTACTCACAAAATTACAATAAAGATACAGCAAATGAGGAACGCAATTGATATTGAGAGTTGATAATTATGTCTTATTTCCAGTGCTGGACTGAGGAGGTGGGGGAGAGGGGGATGGGGTGGAAGGGCTATAGCCCCGGGACTCACAATGTTAGAGGCCGCGAAATAGATAAAAAGACCATTCGGTATTTTTTTTAGTCATTTTTACGCTGTGGCATATAATAAATGCCACTAAAGTAATGCAGCCCGCGGCCCTGAAAAGTCAAACAAGATTCAACCAGTAAAACTAACACGAGATAATTTATTTATAAATAAAAGGTTTTTTTAAATAACTGTTTTATGCTTCGCGTAGATTAAAAAGTTTAACACATTTGAAACTATTCTTTTTAGAAAGATGAACAAAAGAAATAATTAAATCATTGAGTTACTGTAGAAATTCAATTAGCTAGATAGAAATTAACTAAAAACGTTAAATTACTTAGTGAGGAGGAAGCGGAAAAGCTTCAGATTTCCGCTGATAATGTTTAGTGAGTGGGCTTAATAATTTTAATTAGTATTTAAAACAGAAAAGAGTTAAGTATAACGAGTTTGTAAGAATGGCTGAAGCAAAAATAATTGAAGTTAGTTAACCAATTTCTAAGAACTTAAAAACTTTTCTTTCTAAGAACTTAAAAACATAAATTTAAAACATTTATTTTTGCAAACAATTAATGTTAGTTTAAAACATTTGTAGCTTTGTAGATGTGGCTTTGAGAATGACATAGTATTAAAATAAAAGTTCGTTTGACAGTATATTGTTAAAACAATTTATGCTAGAAATCTCGACGAAAACATAACAAAACTCAAATAATACAACTGTTTAAACTAATTCAACAGAATACTCTAGAACATTCGATTAGTATTTTTTGAATATTCAAGAAAATTCATCTAGTATTTTTTGAACCAATAGAATTAGTTGTTAGTAGATTTGGCGGGTTTTTTGTGTTCGCGAATATTCTTTTTTTTATTTTTCCGCACAAAGTATGAGAACATTTGAGTTTATGTATGTTTCCGTGTAAGTCCGTAATACAAAACATTCTAAGATTTACGATGGGATCGCCTAAAACGCCGAATTCTAAAACGCCGAAAAACCGAAATGCCGAAAAAAATGGCGTAATAATAGAATTCGGTAACCGTCAAAAAACACAACGAAAAGTTAAATATCCCCCGGATTTTTTATTGCGCATTTGTAAATGCAAAGTTTAAAAGAACAAAAGCCAAAGCCAAATTTGGCTTTTGGTTCTGTCTTTTTAAACAAAATTTATTGCTGCATCTTATTTTTTAATTTTACATGTTTTGAATTTTTTTAAATTTAAAACAATAATTTAAACATTAATAACGCGGGGGTTGACTGCCGGTAATTTATTGCTCTCATTCCGTTTTTTATTCTGTTACTCTAAGATGGTTTTTCGGCATTTCTGCTTTTCGGCGTTTTAGAATTCGGCGTTTTAGGCGATCCCAATTTACGATAACTTAATAATTATTTTGCGGACAAACAAGGAAACATACGTAAACTTGAATGTTCTCAAAACGACTAAAAAATCTGGCAAGTTTTTTGCAACTAAATATTATTTCCGTGGTCAGTTATCGAGTGCGATCGCACCCGCTTCCCGACCAAGCCTGACATATACATAGTTTACATGTTCCCATCTTTCCCATTCTTTATATATATATATATATATATATATATATATATATATATATATATATATATATATATATATATATATATATATATATATATATATATATATATATATATATATATATATGTATATGTATATATATATATATATATATATATATATATATATATATATATATATATATATATATATATATATATATATATATATATATATATATATATATATATATATATATATATGTATATGTATATATATATATATATATATTAGCCGGCTTAACTCAGAAAATAGTTACGCTTGGTTTCTGTTGCGTTTTTAAAACGTTCTAAAACAAAAAGAATAACACGTATTCTAAAGGGTTTTTATTCCGTGAAATTAACTATTACTATTTACCATAAATACCAGTTAAAGTATTAATGGTTTCACCGTTATGGAAACGTAGTATTATATTTAAATAACTTTTCGTAAGGAATGTGAAACCACTGATAAAAATATGCGACATTTAAATTCGACTTTAAAACCTCAAAAATCACGTGTTAAACTCTAGTAAAACTGCCCGTAATATACACGTGCTTTTGGTTTACGCCTGGATCGTGAAAAACACGTGCCTATATAGGTTTTATTTCCGAAAAAGAAACTAGATGTGTCGATAGGGATATATATATATATATATATATATGTATATGTATATATATATATATGTATATATATATATATATATATATATATATATATATATATATATATATATATATATATATATATATATATACATATATATATATATATATATATATATATATATATATATATATATATATATATATATATATATATATATATATATATATATATATATATATATATATATATATATATATATATGTATATATATATATATATATATATATATATGAGATAATAATAAACTATTAAAATAATAGTTTATTATCATCTTATTTAACTAATAAAAAATTAAATAAATAAGTTTATAGCTTAATGTAAAGTTTGTTTATTAATTGTGGGACTTTTTCATTTAATGTGGTGGGCTTCTTTTACTTTTAATTTGTGGTTTTGTTGGGGCATAATCCAAAATCTCAAAAGAATCACTAATTGCCAGACTTTTGAAATTAATAGATAAATTTAAGTGTTTGAATATATGAGATTGTTTACAACTTTTAAGGTGCTCGTTAATTGTAGTTGACAAATGTCTGTTAAAACCTACAGACATTTGGCAGACAATTTTTCAGAGTTTTATTATTTTAAAGAAATCTTTTTAAAATGCAAATAAATTTTACATAACATAAGAAAGGCGGAAATATGATGATCACAATGATGTTCATATATGCATATATATACAAAATATAGTACGAATTTTAAATTTAAAAAATATATACTTTAGGATGTATAAATATTATGCAGTGGTCACAAACCCAGCCCTGGCCCCGGATATATTTTATCAATTCCTGCCCTGGTCCCGGCTATATTTTATCAAACCCGGCCCCGGCCCCAGTCAAATATCAACCCCAGTTGTTTACTACAAAACATTTCAAGAATATAAAACGTCGTGTTATTTTTAAAATTAAATTACTTATTCTATGGTATTACGACGATCACAAAATATATATATATATATATATATATATATATATATATATATATATATATATATATATATATATATATATATATATATATATACATATATATATATATATATATATATATATATATATATATATATATATACATATATATATTTATAAATATATATATATATAAATGCATTTAAGCGTTGATTCAGCGTTATATCTCACCCTTTACCCGACTTCTTTGAGTAACGTTAAATCGACGTTTTACGACCAACGTTACAAATCCTTGCAAAATCGACTGCTTTAACAACGTTTAAGTAACGCTTTTCAAGTAAAGTTTTTTCAACGTAAAGTTGCGACGCCTATGCAACGCTTTTTAAGTAACGTTTTTTCAACGTTTAGTTGCGGCATTTTTGCAACGTCTTTAAGTAACGTTTTTTCAACGTTACGCTACAATGTTTAATCAACGTCTTTTTAACAGCGTTACATATCTTTGCAAAATCGTCTAGTTTGTCAACGTTTCTCCAACATCTTTTGCGACCGGTTTTCAACGTTGATTCAACGCTGTCATGTTTGCTGGGTATATATATATATATATATATATATATATATATATATATATATATATATATATATATATATATATATATATATATATATATACAGCTAATATGATAAGAATTGAAAAGTAGACAATCAAATTATTTTCTGGACAATCAAATTTTTTGTTAGTTTGTTATCAAATTTTTATGTGCAGCAATTTTTGCTTTACACTTTTCAAGTTTTTGCCTAAAAGCACCGCTTATTCCGCGGAATTCTTTCTTAGTTTAAAATTGTAAAACATAAAAAATATATTTATAAAAACTTATTTAAAAAAACTATTTAAAACGAGCCTTTTAAATAGTTTTTTTTAAGTGTTATGTTATAAACGCACTTTAGCGTTTCTTAAAAAAAAAAAATTTAAAAGGCTAATTTTTTTATATACTTATCCCGGATTGCTGTCTGGCTTAAGTATAAAAAAAAACTTATGATAAGTTGTTTAGCATATCCTAAATTATCATAAAAGTTAACAAAAAAGAAATTAGTTAAGTTGATCAAGTCAACTTTTGATTTGTCGCACAGTATTTGATTGATTTAGGCGGTCAAAAATATTTAAAAATCTTTAATTAAAAAAGTTTAACTTTTTTTAGGTAAAGCTGGTAGAGAAGCCAAATTAAAAAAAAAAAAAGATTTTTAACAAATTTATAGGTGATACACTTCCCCCCTCCCCCATCGCCAACCCTCATCACAGTTTTTTTTTTTCACACTTTGATTTAGCATAAACATGATTAGAACCTATTTTATATGGTTCTTGTCATGATATAAACCTTTTATATATGGTGGATAACTTTAACTTTCACTCGGAATTGAAAGTCAAAACATCGAAATTTGTCTTATCTTAATGTTTTCGAAAGTACTGGCAATTACTATATAAGGAGCCGTGGCGCAATGGTAGCGCACTTGCCTCAGAAACGTAAGATCCGTGGTTCAAACCCACCTCTGGGCAAGTTTTGCAACATCGGTTAGGAAGGAGGCGTGAACTTCCCATTAAATGCTTTTTCGCAGTGCTCTGTGATAAGACCGTAGGGACTTCTTGGGGCACCTAAATCAACATTAAAAAAAAAAAAAAAAAAAAACAA